GCCCAGCTGGCCTGTCAGGGAGCCCTGATCCATAGAAACCTAGACTTTGGCTCTGGCCTGGTTGTCCAGAGACCTGAGTTCTAGGTTTGTCATGCCAGGCACTGGCTTTGTGGTGGTGAGGCATCATCCTCTTTTTCTTGGTGTTGTCATAACAACAAGGAGAAACTGATGCTCATTATTGCTACCCAGCCCTGCTCTGGGTAATGTACTCAGCCCTCCTCACCCCACCCCCACCCCACATTCTGCAACTGGACATCACTGTCCGTATTTGTAGATGCATTACCTGAGACTCAGAGAGGGAAAGACCTTGCTCTAGGTCACACAGCTCAGTCTTGAACACAAGTTCCACTGCAAGATCCATAGACTTCCTCACCCCCCTCGTTCCATGCTGCTCTTCCTTGGTGGATGTGTCTTGCCTCTGTGCCAGCCAAGCAGACTGTTCAGGAAGACAGTGCTCACTTTTGGGGAGGTTCTCCTGAGTGTCAGGCCTTGGACCCCCTCATGGCTTCCTGGGCTCAGTCTCATCCTCCCCCATTTTATAGATGAGGAAACTGAGGCCTTCATCGCAGGCCACTCGATTCTAAAGCTGAGTTCTTTCCAGTCCACAGGGCTCGCCAGGAGCTGTCTAGGCCCTGTCCAGTTTCACTGGGTTTCATAACTGGCTTCTCTGTTTACTGACCATTGTCCCTGCTGGCAGAGCCCTAGGCCAGAGGGGCGGTGCTCCCAGGAGGACTAGAGAGAGAAACAGTGTTAGCAAAAGCAAACAAGCTGTATGAGAATGGCTGGCTGCCTGGGAAATCCAGAACAACAGTGTTTGAGATGAAGGAAAAGAACAGGGTGGTGTCTTCAGGCCCAGCCAAGGTCTTTTGTATATCATGGCTGGGGGGTGGAGGGGGTGGGGGGTGCGGATGAGGCTACGCCTAGTGGATGTTAACCATACTGAGAGACCCAGAGAAATACAGAGACTGGCCTGAGGTCAGTCACAGAGAGAATGAGGGTCTAGGGCCAGTTGTAGGTGGGGGGGGGGAGGGGGGGGCAGCTTGGGGCCAGCCACAGTCCCCCAGGGTCTGCAGAGGAGTGTGGGCTGTACCACTTCATCCTGTAGTGGACACTGGATAGCTGCTAAGTGTGTGGCACTGAGCAGGATGAAGATCAAGATGGAGGTGCAGCAGATAGACTGATGGAGGAAGTTGGTGGGGAGTCTGGCTGTCCCACGTCAAAGAACCCGTGCTGGATCTGAGTGCCATGTGTTGCAAGGAAAAGACTACAGTCTGTCCTCCACTTAGTGGCCAAACCTTTGTCCTGGACACTCATGGCTTTCTTGGTGCCTCCTCCTATTAGAGACTCCTGACTACCAGCTTGGCATGGGCTTGGGTGGTTTAGCAACCACAACTTGGAGACTCTGTAGGGTGGCCCTACTCCTGCCAGGCGGTGCCAGGGCTCCTGCCTGGTCCCACTGGCTTTGGAGTGGGTTGGATGTATGTTCAAATCTCAATAATGCCTCCTTCCAGCAGACTGACCCTGAGTAAGTGACTGCCCCTCTCCAAGCCTCAGTTTCCCTGGCTTGGCATCCTGCTCTTCCTGGCTTAAATCAGGGGTCCTGGGCTATCTGATTCAAAAGGACCCATAGGGGTGACCTGGTTCTCTCCTCTGACCTGCAGCTTAGGGACATGTGCATTCTGGGTATGATTGTACAGCCAGCATTGGGAGTGCTGTCCTGGAAATGAGGCTTAGAGTCAGACCGCAGCGGGGCCTCCCCTGTTTTTTGTACATGGGGACGCTGAGGCCAGCAGATGGACAATGAACTGCCCAAAGCTATCCAGGAAGTCGTTGATAAAGCCAGCCCTGGCATGGGGGAGGGGAGGTGCTTCAAGAGAACCTGAGTTCTCTTGAACCTACACATCATCTTCTAGGCAAGGAACCGAGTCAGCAAGTATTGATGTCCTCTTTGAGGGTTCCCCACCCTGGGGGTCCCAGAAAGCTAGGACCAGGAACCAAGTTCCAAACCTACAAGGCAGGCAAAGCTGCAGGACCTCTGTGATCATTAACCTGAAGCCAGGGACCCTGGACTGGTGGTCACTGACCTTGGGGTCTAAGCTGAGCCACCGTGGCCTGTTAATCACCAACTGGGCAAGTCCCAGCCACACTGTTCTGTAAGGGGGGCTGCTCAGCCAGGCAGGCGGGCTGTGGCCTCAGGTTCCCTTTGTGGGGCTGAGAGGATAAGGACGTTTCCTCTTGATGTTCACTTGCATTTTCTGAATTGTCTAAGAAGCAAGTATCCCTTTAAGTCTAAAAAGCATTGTTTCTATACTGGGTATCAGTGGGCCATACCTATAATCCTAGCTAATCAAGAAGATGACATCTGAGGATTGTAGTTCAAAGACAGGTAGGGCAGGAAAGGAAGGGAGACTCTTTATCTCTTAACTAACCAGCAAAAAAGCCAGAAATGGAGCTGTGGCTCCAGTGGTAGAGTACCAGCCTTGAGTTGTAATTGCTGAGGGACAGAGCCCAAGCCCCGAGTCCAAGCTGTAGTACTGGCATACACACACACACACACACACACACACACACACACACACACACAAGATTAGTGTCCTATAGGAAAAGAAATTTATATTGGATGTATGCTTTTAAAGTTTTAATACCTACAGCAATACTTTTTGAAAGTTTTTCAATGATCATCTTTAAGTAGTCGGATAAATGAGACTCAATTCAGCATGTCAACTTGAGTATAATGCATCTGAAAACTTTTTCCCCCGCAAGTGTCATGAGGTATACTTTGTATGTTATACATAATTCGTTCACTGTAAGTGTACAGTTCCATGATTTTACTAGATTCTATCGTTTGTGTCATTCTCACTGGAATCCATCACCCTGGAAAGAGTGCTGATAATTGCAGTGATCTGGGTATTTCCTTCAGCATCAGGCAAGCCTCTCCATGTCCTAGAGTGAAATCTTCTCTTTCATCCTTTCAAGCGGGCTGCCTGAACAGTTTAGTGTTTATTGACTTCTTGTGGGAGGTCTGTGAAAAGAGGAATAGGAGAGAAATTATTGTTCTACAGTTTGCTTTTTTTTTTGTGCACCTGGATGTTTCTCTGAGCTTATTGAGTGCCTACTGTGTGCCTGGCACCATCGAATCAAACTCATTCTCTCCCCCCCCCCCCCAGCTGCATAGTGGTTCATTGTATGGCAGCTCTATAATTTATTTAAGCCAGTATACTTGGATCTTTTCCAGTTTCCTCCAAACAATGCTTCAGTGAACATCCTTGCACGTATATGTTGGTGTTCATCTGTAAGTAATTCTGTAGGAAATGTATGTTTTGAATTTAAAAACCAACTTGCTCTCCAGAGAGGTGAAACTGGCTTATGCAGCCATCAAGAAGGCATGAGCAGTGGGCTTAAATCTTCCTGCGAGGAGGGGAGAGCACTCTGAGTCTAGCCCAGGTGGCTCCTCTGCAGGCTTCATGGGCCTGAGGGTGGGCATACCCAGGCCATGGAACACTTGAGAACTCAGCATCTCTCTAAGGCTCTCCACAGACGCCCAATGAAGTCGACTCTTCAGTGTGATTCATAGGTCTCTGGGGCACCTGCCTCCCTGGCCAGCCTCATCTCCTCGTATCCCCTACACATCAGCTGACCCTCATTATTCCCTGGACATGGCCTGTGTTTGCCTGCCCTTTGCCCAGTCTGTTCCCTCCACTTCAAGGCCCAGATTACAAGTTCCCTCCTCCACGAAGCTTCTTCCTGTGGTGGCAGTTGCCTTCTCTCCACTCTATTCTCTTAGCCTTTGATCTGAGCCCCACTTCCCTCTTAAGGAGGAGGAAGTTGTGGATGGGGAAGAGCAAATTTCAGCCACATTAGATAAGAAGCTTTCTAACCCGGGTTCCAGGAGGAGTTGGGATGGTTGACTGTTTGCCCAACTGCAGGCCAGGCTGTTTTTATAGGAATAATCTAACCCTAAGCAAGGGCAATGGCCTGCAGTAGATAGGGAACCAGAAGTATGGAAAAAAAGCAAGTAATGTGCAGAAATCCAGCCCAGGTCTTCAACTTCTTACTTCCCATAATGCGTGGGAGAAGATTGAGACTCTCCCTTGCCCAGGAGAGTGGGTACAGAGAAAACAGGCCACCAGCTCAAGAAGCATGGGCTTCTTATCTGCAAGACATGAATCTAAAGTGTTCCCCATGGGAAGATATAAAGAGTATCAAAAAAGAACAACTTTGTACATGGAAGTAACTTCAGGTTTTGTTAAAAATAAACCTTTTTAAAACAGATGCAACTACTCAGGAGGCTGAGATCTGAGGATCACAGTTTGAAGCCAGCCTGGGCAGGAAAAGCCCAAGAGACTCACCTCCAAGTTACCACAGAAAGCCAGAAGTGGAGCTGTGTGCTCAAGTGGTAGAGTGTTAGCACCTTAAGCAGAAAAAACTCAGGGACAATACCCAGGTACTGAGTTCAAGCCCAAGTACTGGCACCAAAAACACGAAACAAAACAACAACAAAAAGCAAAACAAATAAATGTCATTTAAAGGCTGGGCACTAGTATTTCATGGCTATAATTCTAGCGACTCAGGAAACTTGTAGTTCGAAGCTAGCCTGGGAAAGGAAAGGCCATGAAATTCTTTTTTTAAAAATTGTTATTGTAAAGGTGATGTACAGAGGGGTTACAGTTCCATAAATCAAGTAATAAGTACTTTTCAACAATGTCACCTCTTCCTTCCTTTTCTGTTTTTCCCTCCCAAACCCTCCCCCACTAGTTGTATAGTTCATTTCCAACATAGGGTCTAGAGAGTATCACTGCTACGTTTGTTCACCCCTTGTCCCTCCATTTCTGTGCCCCCCTTTTTCTCCCCCAAACAGATAAACTTACATAGACTCACAAGACAAAAGGTACAGAAGTCAAAAACGACAAAGGAGAAAAAAGAAGTAAACTAACAACAACAACAACAAAAAACCACTCTTGTTTCCATTTCTTGGAGTTCATTTTGATAAATATCATTTTATAAAAATATAGCATGCTTGAAATTTGCAAGTCATCCTTATGCAAGAGCCAGACTAATCATCTCTGTATTGTTCCAATTTTAGCAAGTATGTGTGCTGAAGGGAACACCATGAGATTTCTATCTCTTTAATTAACCATTAAAAAAATGCTGTGGTTCAAATAGTAGAATACCAGCGGAAAAAGCTAAGGGACAGTGCTCAGGTTCTGAGTTCAAGCCCCAGTATTGGCACAAAAAGAGAAAAGCCAAAGTCTGTTAGGGGCTGGAAAGCAGCCTTGGGCTGGTTTGGAACTCATCCCCAGATCTCAGCCTGCTAAGTAGCTAGGATTACAGACTTGAGCCATGTTGCAGGTCTCTGACCCACCCTGCCCCTCTCTGAGGTTTGCCTTCCCTTCCTGTAGTTGGTGGCTATGCCAGCTGCCTTGGGTGGGAGTTCTGCCAGAGCTACTGTGGATTCAAGCCATTTGAGTAACACCCGGCTCTTCCTAAGTACTCACTCTGAAAACTATGTTCTGACACACCATTATGCAGAGAGCTTCAGGAACATGCTAGGTACAGAACGCAGGGGAGGCTTGCGGGAGGTCACACGGAAGGAGACCGGAGATGGGCTCCCCATCCTTCTTTCTTGGATCCACTTAGCTAGCCCTGACCTAGCACCTGCTGTATGTCAGGCTCTGGGCTGGGTCTCTGCCCGGGGAGGTTCGAGACCGCGCCCAGGTCGGGTCGGTCCCAGTGGCAATCCAGCTGTCTCCAAGATCCAGGACTGATCCCCGCCTCCCCCCACCCCCTCCCCACTTCCCCCGCGGGGATCAGGGCACAGCGCCCTGCCCTGCGCCCTCCCTGCGGGGCGGTCCCGAGTTTGGGCGGACTGGGCGGGCAGCTACTTAAGGTCTGGGGACGGGAGGATGTGAGGCTGCGGACCGGCTCTGACATTGCACTGTGGCTGCCATGGCGCTGCACGGCTCCTCCGCGCGGCTGGGCGCGCTGGTCCTGGTTCTGTGCGCGCTGTCACCCGCCCTGGCGGCCACCACGTCTCGGGGTTCAGCCCCGGCGCCAGCACCCCAGGGGAGGGGGACCCAGACCCGGGTGAGTGCCCAGAGGGGGTTCCCTCTCCCCCCCACACGGGGGCTCCCGGAGTAACTCTCTATTGTAAGTTCTTGCAGATACAGCGCTAGGAAAAGGGAGTAATTCAGGTCTAGAATGGAAAAACTGTTTTGTTGCTTTGTAAGTATCTCTTGCTGCTTCTGGGCTCTGGCCAGGGGAGGGGAGCGGGGACCTCAGGGGACCAGGGCTGCTTCCCTCCCTTCAAGCTAACCTTACTCTAGAGGGACTTCTCCCTCACCCACTCATCCCTGCAGCCCTGTTTCTCCTTTCCTTGTCTGACTTCTGATGACCTCCACTGCTCTCCTCCCACCTTCTGATCTCTTCTCCCATGGATTCCCTCTCACTTACTACTTTCTCTCCTTTTCTCTCTCGCCTAGTCCCTCCCCTCTTTCCTATATCTCATCCCTGTCTGCTTAATTGTCATCCTATTATTTATTCTCCTCTCTGCTCTTTCACTCTGGTGATAACTACTCTTGGTCTTTCTGCCTTCCTGCCTATCCCATCTTTCTGATTTCTCCCATCTGATTTTTGCTCCCCTCAGATCTCCCTTCCAGCCTGTGTGACCTGAGCCTGCTGGTTTCTCCCCTCTGGTTCTAGCTTAACCATCCTGCCCGTCTACATGCACGTCTAACAAACAACAACCTTTCTCATCCTTGACCGCCCCTCCAACAGGCTCCTGCAGATGCAAGGCTGCGTCCTCTCCACCTTTCCCAAGAAATGGGACTGCGGGGTGGTGGGTGGGTGGAGGACTGGGTGGGGGGCAGGAGGGAGGAGGCAGACAGTGCAGGAGGCCACTTGGGCTTAACAGGCCAGTCCAGTCCCTTCTTGGCAAGTGATAGCACGAGTCATGTTCCTATCCTCAGAAGGCTGGGCCCTCACCTTTCTTTGGTCTTCGATTTCCCACAATGGGGCTGGATGATGAACTCTCTGAGGGCCCTTTAGCTCTAACAGCCATAAAGGCACTGAGAGGCATAAGATGAGTCCCGGGGGCTCCCTAGATTTGCCACTCTTGGGGGACAGGGGAGTGGGGAGGTTTACCTATAGTCCAGAAGTGCATGCTCCCTTTGGACAGTTTCCTCCCTGGCAGAGTTGGTCTACCTCTCTGTGTCTCAGTTGTTAGGATCAATTGATAATAAAAAGGGAAGGGAGGAGAGAGGCAGAGCCCCTGCCTACCTCTTCCCTATCGTCTACCCTCTGACCCAAAAAACCAGGTGAGGGAGTCTTGCATGAGGGACCCATGCTAGTCAAGGCTGAGGATTTAGAGGATAATCTCTCAGCTTTCTAACTCTCAGAAAAGGGTCCACTTGCCTTGGCCACGGGGACAGCTGGAGGCCCAAGTGAGAGGCTCTTGGTGCTGGAACTCAGCCTCCCTCATGCCCAGGGTCTCTCCCCGCAAGACTTCTGTGTCTGCTGAGCCTCTGCCCCCTCTCTCCCTAGCCTGGCAGCATGGTGGTGGAACACCCTGAGTTTCTCAAGGCGGGGAAGGAGCCCGGCCTGCAGATCTGGCGTGTGGAGAAGTTTGACCTGGTACCTGTGCCCCCCAACCTCTACGGAGACTTCTTCACAGGCGATGCCTATGTCATCCTGAAGACGGTGCAGCTGAGAAATGGAAATCTGCAGTACGACCTCCACTACTGGCTGGGTGAGGCTGACCCACCCAGCCCCTGCCCCAGTCCCAGGCTTCCCACCCCCATACAGCAAGAACCATTGAGGTACGGTCCCCCAGGGCATGGCAGCAATCCAAGTGATGACTGGGCCCTAACTATAGGCCAGGCCCTTGCTAGTAGTTGCTGCACCACAGACTCTAGAGCCTACTTGGCTCTAGAGTTCAGACCCCAGCTCTGCCCCTGACCTCTGCTCTGCCTTTGGCTAAGTTCACCATATCTCTGTGGATGAGACTCATCCATAGAGAAGAAAGGTGAAGGTGAACACCAGTTTTGAGGACCCTGGATCCCCTCCATAACTTCTATGGTCCAGCTCCAGTGATGCCCCTTCCCCCGCAGGTTTGGAACCTGTATAACACAGCTCTGTTCTGCAGTGCTAATTGTCCTGTGTTCCCTCACTAAGTTCACAGGAGGCAGCGGCTTGCTCAGCTTCCATGCCTGGACCCAGGCAGTGCTCCTCTTTTCCCTGGGACTTGAGATCATCTTCCAGAAGCCTGGCTCATGCTTTTCTAATGTCTCTAGGTGAAAAGTGTAGCCAGGATGAGAGTGGGGCAGCCGCCATCTTTACCGTGCAGTTGGATGACTATCTGAATGGTCGGGCCGTGCAGCATCGTGAGGTCCAGGGCTTTGAGTCGGCCACTTTCCTTGGCTACTTCAAGTCTGGTCTGAAGTACAAGGTGAGTTGGTCTCCATCTTCTTTGAGTGTCTAGGACATATATATTATATATGCCCCAGTGGCAGGATTCACCCAGGTCCATGTTCTTCTGGTCTCGTGGAATGATGGATGGACAGGCCAGAGGTTGAACTCTTCCTAACAGTGTGATCTTGGATAAATCAGCCTCCGTCTCTAAGCTTCTGGGGAAAAGAAAATTTCCAGTGATGTCATAGGGTTATATTCCTTAGATCCCCAGCAAGTTCTCAGCCATTAGTGGAAACCAACCATTTTACCTGGTACCCTGTAGTTCCTAGGGTTTTGCCAATAGAAGGTACTGGGTTAGGTGCTTGATAAGATATATTCTCTCTCTCTCTCTCTCTCTCTCTCTCTCTCTCTCTCTCTCTCGCCAGCCTTGGCACTTGAACTCTGGGCCTGGACACTGATCCTGAGTTTCTTTTGTTCAAGGCTAGCACTCTGTCACTTGAGCCACTCACAGACTTTCTTGTCAGAGCTGCCTTCAAACCACAATCCTTAGATCTCAGCCTCCTGAGTAGCTAGGATGACAGGCGTGAGTCACCAGCACCCTGCTGATAAGATATTCTTAGTCTCATTTCTCTTCTGCTCACTAGACTCCCCCTTGAACTTGAACTCTTAGGAGTTGGGCCAAGACAGACCTCTTTCCCTAGGTCCCAGCCAAGTGAGGCTGAGCAAAGCCATGCTAGGAGCCCCAGACAGCTGGGACTGTGTGACCCTCAGCCCCAAGAAGCTTGATATTCCTAAGAGCCTGCCTTTCCTCCCCCACCCCCTCCAAGTTCCCAGAGAGCCAGTTGTAGCCCTGCAGGGCTGGGGAGGATTTGTTGAAGAAAAAGCTGAGAAGTGCCTCATGTGGCACTTAGTTTCTTGAAGGGTTCAGGGATGGCTTGGATTTGCAAAGCTAGGTTCCTCTTTTTTTTTTTTTTTTCATTCTTCCCATGCAACCACCATTGCCCCTCCTGAAGAGTTCTAGAGTGAGATCAAAGCCTTGTGTATGTCACCCATGTACGCCATGCTCTCTCTCAGAGCTGCGTACTATGAGAGAGGTCTAAGATCTTCTGTGTCTACAGGGCAGTGACTTTATCTTTCTCAGGTGAAGCAGAGACTGAATGATGGGCGAGTATTCATGAGATGCAGATAGCAAACGCAGGGTGTGGCCTGGGTTTGGCCAGGCAACCTGGCCTGGCTTCCCTGGCATCTGCCCAGGGAATGTCCGCCAGCTTACCATGCAGAGCTCCTGCTACTGCGCAGCCATAGCCACTCCTGGGCCCTGAAGAAGGAGAGGTGGGAAGGTGGGGAGCCAGGCCCCTGGGCTGGAGAAGGACTGGGTCTTTTCCCAATCCCCGGGACAGGAAATGGGAGAGTGCTTGGAGAGGTTCCAGCCAGCCCAGGACACAGGTACTAAGGCCATTCCTGACCCCTGTGAGACTCTCGGCAAGGCCCACCCTCCTCTCCTCCACCTGTTATTCGTTCTACAGTTTCAACTCCCCATCTCAGCGATGCCTGCTTAGAGTCGCTGCAGCAAGGCTGGCTCTGCGCCGAGGACATGCGTTGTCTCATTTAGACCTTCTGGTTGCCCTCACATCATAGGCTAGTGGTGCCCATTTTACAGATAAGGAGACCTGAGACCAGTAACTGATGGAGATTGCTTCAA